TCCTTTATATAGGGACTGAGTTCTAAAGGTCATAAATAACTAATGAATAAAATAATAATAAACTAAACATATCTTAACTCTAATTCCTAATAAAATAATAATAACTAAAGATAATATTTTTAACCCAACCTTAATTCCTAATAAAATAATAAATCTAATCCTAAAAGATAATGCATCATCCTATATTAAGTTATATTACAAATAATCAATAAAAATATTGAAAATTCGTAATATTTACAAAATCCCGTATTAATCCCGTATAGGATTTTCTGCATGCACCGTCTTCAGTAAAATAGCCATATCTTGAGTTCTCGATATCGGATTGATGCGATTCAAGAACCGTTGGAAAGATAAGAGACATACAGTCGTATATACAAAAGAAATCTTGACTAAATAAGATCAGGATCCCATTAAAAAAGTCATCGTAAGTCTGCTTCTGTTATGATCTTCTTTTCCAATGCTTGGACTAGTGGATCATTTGGAAGAGTTATTACTTCTTCCTTTGATGTGAACCTTGTGATGCATGTATCAATAGGCTATGAGGCCATACATGAATTAATAAATATGGTTAGCAGGAAAGAAAATTTTATTTAATATGTGTAAAGAGTGGGACAACAGAACGTCTCTACATGTGCAATGAATCCACCAATGGTAGGCCCAATAATCAGTCCTATGCCTCGAGATGTACTAACCTAAAATTTCAAGTCTGATATAAATATGATACTGCAGAATCTAGATGATGTCTTCCTCTCTTTTTGCAATATGAAAGTCTCGGATCTGCCAACCAAAAAACCCATAGACAACTAACGATAAAAACAAACTTTTCCAGTTATTCAAAGGTAGAAAACATACTGTAAAGGGAATAGTGATTCTATTTGCAAAGCTAAAAATGTAACAATAATAAGAATGCGAGTGTTAAAACTCATAGACAACCAAAAAAAACCAACAGGATAAAAAAAGCTAACCATAAGACAGTCCTAAGAAGAGTTCAAGATACAGAAAAGCAAAGTATAGGAAGCTAAAATGATTTGATTATTTCCATTCAAAGACAACCCAAAAGCAATAATCAGTAACACTAAAATCTTACATTGAAAGATTGTCCACAAAAATTACAGCATCAGTAAAAGGGTACTCCCATAGATTTTCCTAAAAATCAAAGAATCGAAAAGATTTCGGAAAGAGACGATGACTTTCAGAGTATTGCTCCTGACCGTTTCGAAAAGATTACAAGTCATTGCCAGAGTTGTCTAACCAACGCTCATAAGATGAACTCGAAATGCCTTCTTTACAATAGATCCTTATATTAGTCTAAAGATGGCAGACACCCTGCATTACATGACAAGGTTAGTGCCATAAATATAATCTATGCTTAAACAAAAGCCCATCATACTCTACATTCAACCTTCCGTTTACACCTAAAGAGAATCAAAATTAACTGGAAAAAAATTATAGATACTTAAAAGAAAAGCACAAAACAAGGGCTTCTAACATTTAAGTATAACATAAGTGAGGAATGTATTCCACTTGAACATCAACAGTAGAATGTTAATTAAATTCCACTTGAACAACAGCAGTAGAATGTTGATTAAATTCCCAACCGTTCAATTCGTTACTAAGAATATGAATCCAACTATCAATATCAGGATATGGAATGATAGGTATGTACTTCATTTCATTTGACCAGTAGTGAGTATAATGTTAATTAAAGTACCAAATTCTTCTATAAACATGTGCATCCAAACATCAATATCAGGGTAAAGAACGACACATTTATACTTCAATTCAATGTCCAACATGAAGCCCATATGGTGATGATACCAACAATAATGCTCTTTCTCTATAATGATTCTTGCCCACAATTTAATGTACATCTTAAGCATAAAAAACAAACGATTATTCCAACAAAAACATATAATTACAATTCAATACATGATATTTATAGTTTACGAGGCAATAAAGAAATATCTCAAAAGTCAGGAGGTTGAAAGCATGTATTTAACGGCGAAGAAACATCCCCAGGTTACTGTTTGGGTCCAAAATAACCTGATCATCTTCCATAACTCCTGAATCAGCCCCTCCAAGTGTTTCTACCAAAAAAACAATAATGACAGGGGAAAGGAAGATGATAAAGTGAGTAAAACAATAAACAAATAAATAAAAAGCTAACCTCGCAACTCATTAAAGAAATTGAACAGATCATCAGGCGATGATAAAGATGATAATCGACTAGTTACATGATCAGTTAACCAATCATCCATTAAACCACCAATCTCTCTCAATTGGATAATGAGTTGATCTAATTTCAGCTTCAACATGTCATCACATGACTACAATATGCAAACACTCATCAATTTTAGTCATAGAAAAATGATTACCAGAATAAGTCCAATAATGTTTGTAGGGTGCTCATAATAAACTGGAACTCTGCTATGCCCTTTCTCTAAAATTAAACTCATCAATTCCCTGCCCATAGCAAGCATGTAATGGTAGTTTATAAAATCAAATGAAAGTTGAAGTAGATATTCAAATGCCATCTTTCTTGGTAATTTACAGAAAGCCACACCTGTCAAGCTTGGCATTAATATCAATTGAAAATGTTTCAGATATGGGAGTCATGGCATCTTTAACTTTTTTTCTCAGTGAGCTCAAGTGCCCCAGCTTTATTTGTTGTCTCATCATGGGTCAGCTCTCCACCTTTGCCAGCCTAATAAAGGTCCAACAAAAGGATCGTAAATCTGAAAGTTATGATGAATGAAAGAAGGCATTGCACTTCAAAAGGCAAAAACACATCAAGAATTTTACAATTCAAAATGAGAGAAGTTAGAAAGTACAACAGTGATTAATTAATGGTTAAAAACAAATATTGATTTGATAAATAAAAACAACCAAGATAATAACTAGTTATAGAAACAAGCAAATTAAACAACTATAGGGAAAAGTTTGGATGCAAACCTCGTTTTCATACAAATCTACTAGGGTTTTCAAATCGGCTCTTCAAAAAAGTGCTACATGTCCATGACCCAACAGAAAGTCTAGCAGCTGGAAAAAAACAGAGAAGGTCAGCTACAAGAGCAATCTACATGAATTACATGCTTGGTTGTCTTTCTCACTGTCATAAAAGCATTAGTAGCAACGTTCATCACCTTGCTTATTGGGTAGGCAACAGGAAAACAGATCCAAACAAGAACTCGAACGAATGGAGCTATCTTTGCACCAATTGCCAAACCATATCGAGAATAAACAGATTGTGGTATTATCTGCACAAATAGTTAAATTGCAATTAGGATTTAGGGCATTCAAAGAACTTGATTCCTTTTTTAACAGCTATAAGTAATTTCACTTTCTAAGAGCAAGTCTAAAGCCATAATGGTCGGAAAACAATTTTATAAACCAACGGTTGCAACATTCTCGGAAAAACTGCTCAGCCAAAAGTTTAGCAAATAATATTCGAGTAACATATCAAAATTTTCATATCGCAACTAATCAGTGTTTAATAAGTATTTCTAGCTCTACCGAGTTCATAAACGCTTCAAATAAAATAAGCCAAGGTGGATACTCACCTCACCAAACAGAAGAATCAAGGTCACTGAAATCAAGATAGCACCCCAAGTTGTGCTGAGAAACGGAGGAGAAAGGGAAAGAGATAGAGATTTGAGAAGGAGAAGCATAACTATGAACCAAAATGCACACTGAAACTTTGTGTGGAGTTATGGAAAAGGCACCCAGTGCTCTCACTGCCCCTGCCATTTCTAATAGACTTCCACAAAATCTGTGATGCTGCCTGAGATACCAATCCATATTGCTCAAAATCAGCAACGCATTCTGAAAAATGCTCCTGACCATTCCCCAAAACATTTTTATTTTTTAGAAAGGGGGCAGCGGGAATGGAAAAATAGGTGAAGGGGAGAGAAGAAACATGGTTACAAGAAACAAATCAAATAACCAAAAACTAGTCTAAAGTCGAGAGGGATGAGAGAAGATGAAACATTTTATTTTTTTAGAAAGGGGAGCGGGAATGGAAAAATAGGTGAAGGGGAAAATGAAATAAGGTTAAAGAGGCGCCGGATTTAGCAACTTTAAACTTGCGGCATTTTAAAAAACAAACGCCACTAAAGTACGAGTCTAGCGGCGTTTGTATAAAAATGCCACTAATGTACGAGTCTATAGCGGCATTTGTACAAAAACGCCACTAAAGTACGAGCCTATAGCGGCGTTTGTATAAAAACGCTGCTAAAGTACTACTCTATCGCGGCGTTTTATATAAAAACGCCACTAAAGTACGAGTCTATAGCAGCGTTTGTATAAAAACGCCGCTAAAGTTACCATTTTTTGGCATTTGAAATGTAAACGCCGCTATATGTTTAAAGTTAGTGGCGTTTACTCTAAAAACATTGCTAAAAACGCCGCTGTAGAACAATTTTACTGTAGTGTGGTCTTTTTAGAAGTTCTAAATGAAGAAGGAAAAATATGATGCAAATGACACAAAGAAGGCTCAACAAAATGTTAAAATTATACACATTATTCTTTTTGCTTTGAAGTAAGAAGTCTTCATCAAATTTCTTCTCGTGAAAGTGTAAAAAAAAAAAAATTGGGATAGACTATAAGAAATCTATAGAATCAAGAAGAATATTATAAAGCCATGTGAATGTCAATACTCAACAATAGATAACAAGGAAAATGATGATGAGCATTCGAGTATAATTGTCTCTTTAAATCTAAAAGTAGCATGCTTAACAACTCTCGAAGAACTCAAGGTATATTGTATCTATAGTGAATTTAAACTATGTTCTTTTGATCAGTACAAGAGATATATGATAAATAAATAGTAGAACTTGAGACCATGCATAATAAATACAAGAAAATGTTGGGATAAACTGCTAATGAATATTTAGATTCATATCCAAGAAATAAGTGTGACAACTCCATAAATGCATTTAATATCAAAACCTCATTATCTTTTTTTAATTTTACAATATACTACTAAGAACAACAACAGAAAACCCTAACCATTCTTCCTAGGATTATTATTATGAACATAATCATAGTAATTGCTGGGATTAATAAGTTTAGTATAGGATCCCAAAAGAGAATGTGAATGAGACCTTTTATTTTTATTTCTAATCATTAAACAATCAAGTGCTTTCCAAAACCAACGCCTCCGCTTCACAAGGCCCACGTGCCCCCTTCTCCTCGCAACCCCACTTACCACCTCCGGCGGTTTGTAGTGCCTGATTAATGCCCATTTTATACCATCAAAGAACGGGTGTTGTTTAATATCCTGCGCACCCCTGGTGCACCCTAGCCTCCTCCTTGGATCTTTTACCAGCAATTTCTCGATCAAATCCTTTGCCTCTGCGGTTCCAGCCTCTTCTAGTTCCACCGCTTGGGGGAATTTCATTTTCCGGCTCAAAGCTATGTTCCGAAGAGTACTCTCTTTGCTGGCTCCTTTAAACGGTGTCGTTCCGTATAGTAACTCGTAAATGAACACCCCAAACGCCCACCAGTCAACGCCGTTACCGTGGCCGGTGCCGGAAACGAGCTCCGGTGCTAAATACTCATGGGTTCCAACGCACGAACGTGAAAACGCCGATGTGGGTTCAGCTACAAAATCAGGAAAAACTTCTTCTTCTTCGCCCGAACCGGCCACAGGACCGAAACAGCCTCCTCCGCTGAAACAGTTCCACTTTGACCTTCCTCTTTGGCAGCGGAGGAATTTGAGAGTGGGGACCATATCAGCCTTGAAACACAAATCGAAATCCGACAGCATTATATGCCCATCTTCACGTAACAAAATGTTTTCGGGTTTAAGATCCCTGTAAACGATCCCTAATGCATGTAAATATTCCAAAGCAACCAAGACTTCGGCGGCGAAGAACCGAACGGCGGATAGAGGGAAACGGTTTCCCGGTTGTTTACGTAGGAGAGAATGGAGGTCTCCGTTAGGGCAGAAGTCGATGAGGAGACAGGTGTAATGAGAAGCTTCGATACGGGCGTAAAGCGTCGGGAGAAACGGGTGGTCCAGCATGGATAAGATCTCCGCTTCCATTTGAACGTGGGAGAGTTTCTTGTTGCTCAGTGTATCCCTGTCGATCACTTTCAGAGCGAAGGTGGAGTTGTTGCAATCCCTAAGGTGACAGAGGAACACCCGGCCGAGGTTTCCGGTACCCAAGTGGCGAACGAGCTTGAGGTGACGGAGGTGTAGCTTTCCGTCGGAAGAGAGGTTGGTGGCTGCTTTAATGCAGGACCAACGAGGATCCGATTTGCGGTGGTGGAGGGGTGTGATACCGGTGGTTGTGGTGGAAGAGGAAAGGCGGGATTCATTGAAGCTGAGGGTAAGACTGGATCTTGCTAAACTGGAACGAGCGCTGGAGCAAGGAAAGGTTCTGTTGGTGGTGGTGGAAGTGAAGCTAAAGTCCAGATCGGTGTCTGGAAAATATGTTTCTTCTTCCATTACTTCTTGCTTGGTTTACAGTTAAGGGTTTCACGTCTGTACACTATATATATATAAGGGAGAAAGTGAGAAAATAATGGAGGCACACGGAATTAAATATAGCCGTTTGGTTGACCCAATTTTACTCATTAAATTATGAGGGACAACGGAAGGAGTTAGGTTGATCCAATAGGCTTGTTTACAAAATTAAATATTATGTCTATATAAAAAATATTAATTTTAGTTAAAATTATTAATAAATATTTTTTATAATTTAAGTGATTATAAAATAATATTTATTATAAATTTTTAATTATTTAATAATAGATACTTAAATATTTTTATAAACTATATTTTAAAACTTGAAACTTTTAAAATTATTAATCATTCAATCGATTAATAAAATAACTTGGCTGCAATTACTTATAAATATTAAACTTTAATTTGATTGATGTTATTATTTAAATATTATACATAAAAATATTTCTTTTTATATAATTATATAATTATGCGTCTAAATTCAAATGTCAGGATGTGCAATAACTTATTGCTAATTCCATAAGCGAGAGTAGTTGGATTGAGTGAAGGGACGGCAGAGTTGAACAGCGAGTTAATGTAAAAATAATAAAAGAGATGAAATGAGGAAATGAGACAACGGCGCCTAGTCGGCCGCGTCAATGGCTGGTGACGTTTAACTTTAAGGTGACGTTTGATTCGCTGAAATCTCTTGTAGTTAGAAGAAATTAGAATTAAATTTCACCATTTTCTCATGTTTGGTTTAAGTTTTTAAAGGAGGAATTGGAATCCAATTCCATTAAGGGAGGGAAAGTAAATTACATCCATAACATGATGGAATTGAAATCCTTTGGAAGATGAATGTGAAATTTGACCATACTACCCTCATTAATCTTTTTGTTATTCGGATCGTATTTTTTAAAAAAAAATTGAGATCGGGTAGAATTTTTTAAAAAAATTTCGGCTTCGGGTCGGGTGGGGTTTTTTTAAGTTTGATATTCGGATCGGTTCAAATTTTTTAAGTGTGATATTCGGGTTGGGTTCCGGTTTAGGGTGAAACATACCGACCCGACCCGAAAAAATATATAATTTTGTCTTATATATTTAAGAATAATTACAATAATACCCCTCTATATATAATTTTTTTCAATTAAGTCACTGTTTTTATTGAATATATTTTTTTTATTTCAGGCCGGGTCGGGTTTTTAATTCATATATTAGGGTCGGGTAGGATGAAACTTTATTTTGATCGGGTTGGGTCTCGGGTGGAGGTTCCCTTGTTCTCGGGTCAGGTCGGGTGGGCCAAAAACCTGATCCCACCCGACCCATGACCATCCCTAATTGAGAAGATTTTAACTTATGATATTTATCAGTATGATTTTTATAATCTATTAAAATGAATAATCAATCAATAAAATGAAAATTTAATATTTTTAAAATTTTTATAATATATTGCTACATGTAAGTTATAAAACAAACTAAAATTAAGCAAAAAAATAAGAAGGACAATTCTGTCATTTTACATTACTGAAATCAAATTCATCTGACATGTCTGCGAACCAAACAGAATATGGAATTGGATTCCAATTCAATTTTCTGCCGGATTCTAATTCCTTCACAGATTCCAATTTCCTCAGAAACATTCCAGCGAACCAAAACGCCACCTAAGTGTTTAGTTAATAGAATTTTGCTAACGAGGACACAAATTTTAAAATTAATACCATATAGTAAGGGGAGTGTTTGATCGAACTGAGTTAAGTAAAAAATTTTGAGTTATTCGAGTTGACGTGTCAAATTTCATATTTCGAAGTTGACTTGAAATTTTTTCGAGTCGAGTCGAATTAATAAAGTTTGAGTCAAGTCGAGTCGATTCAAATTTTTGAATTTTTATTTAAATTTAATAACAAATATTTACAATATTATGACATTATTTTATTCTAATTTAAATGATATTATATATATATATATATATATTTGTCTTTTCTTCAAATGTAATTTATATATACCATACAAAATCGATGGACTAAATTCAAACTTCGACTCAAATATAAAAATTAGTCTACTAATTACTAAGAAATTCGAGTTATTCGAGTTGCATTTTGCAATTCGGTTTGAACTTAGAATTTTTTAGAGTCGAGTCGAGTTTATGAAATTATAACTCAAAGTCAATTCGAATCAGGTTTTTTTTCAAATAGGGTTGAATAAAAAAATTCGGTTTTCGAGTCGAATCAAGTTTTTCTCACCCCTAGTTAATAGATTAGTATTATATATTTTAAAAATATATATTAATAAAAAATTAATTCAAGTGGTAAATAATTTAATATCATTTAATTAAATTTCTAGTTCGAGATATGCAGAAAACTTTTGTTAGTAGACTGACCCATTAAAATCAATATATGACTCAAATCGATTAGATTAATCAAAGATGAAGTCTTAAAACATACAAGAAAATAAAAGTATATATAATTGTTTGGGGGGTAAGAAGACGTTGGCGTAACAGCTACATTTGACTGCATTTATGCTTCTCTTATCAAATATTATTAAATCGATGTCAGAATGGCTAATAACTACGCCTAGTTTCAGTGTCTATTTTTTTTGGTGAATAATTTCAGTGTCTATTTTTTTGGTGGTGAATAATTTCAGTGTCTTTAGTCGCTTTTAGCTTTACAAAAGCTATACCTGCAGCTACATATGACCCCCATTCAGAGGTTACACCGGTGGAAAATTAAAGTAGTGGTTAAAGCTTTAAGAGGACATGGGTTCAAATCCTATCTCTAACCTTCCAAATACTTGTTCTTAATTTTTTTAACCATTCAAGAGTTGACATGTATCATCAGACTAATAAAATTATGCATGTGTGATCAAAATAGAACAAAAAGTTAATTTGAGTGATTAAAATGAACATGAAAGTTAACTTTGGTGATTTATTTGCAAAAAGAATAAATTCAATGATCAAAATAAAAATTTAGCTTGTTGGTTGTCTAAATGGGTAGTTTACCCTTTAATTCCATATAAATAATATATTAAAGGATAAACTATACCATATATCTCTTAATTTTATTTGTTGACTTGTTTTATATCATTAATTTTTTTATTTTGTCAATTATAACGTTGAACTTTAGTTTTACATTTAATTATGTCATTTTGTCGTTAATTCACTAAGAAGATAATGACATGACTAACAATTGTTGACGTAGCTTGCCACACCAAAACAATGACGTTTTGGTGCGATTATTTTGAAGCTACAACAATGTTGTTTTAAACACTAAACTTTAGGTGTATATTGATTTTGTTACTGAACTTTTAAACAATTCACTTTTTTGACTCAACATATTTCGATTGCTACCGAAAACCAATACCACTCATCAATGATCGTCTTTCGCAGCAAAATTGATACCAAAATATTTGCATTTTACTCCATATTCTTCTCATAGGATTAGCTTTCCACAAAACTCACTCAAAATCGACAAAACTAAATAAAAAGAAATCTACCATTTTTTAGATGTTCACAGACTTTCTTAGATTTATGAGATTTGAGGTGTTTGTTCAAAAATTCGAACAATGCGAACATTATTTTGCGAAGACGAACAACAAACCTCAAAACTAGCCTCATCAAAAAATCATTGAAAGAGATCGAAGTTTTAATATGCCAAAATTTTAAATTTATTTTTGTCGATTTTTTGTAGTTTTCATAAAAATCAATCCTAGGAGAAGAAAGAGAAATGAAACGTGATTAATACCAATCTTGTCGCAAAATATGATTGGTGTAGGCGATGATTAACTGTCGACGACGACCGAGAACTATAATGCCAAAAAGTAAACTGTTTAAAAGTGTAATGGTAAATCTGATACGCCTCTAAAGTTTAATGGCTTAAACGATGTCGTTTTCGGTATCAATAATCATTATCAAAATGACGTCGTTTTAGTGTGGTAGGTCACGTCAACAATCGTTACCATGGTGGAGTGACATATTAAATATAAAATTAAAATTCACTATTATAATTTATAAAATTAAAAAGTTAGTTGTATAAACGAGTCAACAAATAAATTAAGTGATTTCTATATCAATTTAACTTATATTAAATGTTAAAACATCTCTAAAATAATATTTAAATAGCCTTTAATTTCATGCTTATAAAGAATCGTTAATTGAATCATATAAACTCTATCCAACAATATTCTGAAAAAAGAAGAAAAGTAATAAATAAGAATACGTAGCCATTAATAGCCCATAAATATACCAGCATTAACTTTTCTACATATTATTAATCAAATCTCCTCACTTATTGTTAATATGCATGCACTAGAATATTGTTCCTATTTAATAGATTCGGATTCGTCTTTAGTTGTTTCAAAAAAAAAATGATTCGTCTTTAGAATTTTAATGGATTATGATTTGATATATATGGGATGTGGATTTATTTTTAAATTTCACGAGCAATAGGAACACCTAAAAAAATATTTGTATGAATTAATAAAAATTTAGTTGGCAAAAATATTTTTTTTAGCATCACGTTAAAAAATCTTCCTACCCAATATTAAAGTGTCGGATTACCAGGGAAAAGAGTAACCTAAACTATATAGGTCAAATAAATATTACATCGTTCGCAACCTTCGTAGAGATAATCTCAAGACAAATCAAGTCAAAATACAAAGACTGAACCACTCATTTAGCCAAACTAAACATATTACAAGATCATTGAATTAAGGTAATATGAAAACTCGAAAACATTTCGAAGCAGTCTTTAGCCTATTGAAGATGTAACGCGAAAGAAGAGATGTCCTCCTCTTCACGAAGTAACTTGTTAACCAAGATAGCACAATCATATCCAAAGTGGACATTCTCCCATTGCCTTTCGATACCAAGATCCAGGGCAGCTACAAAAGCATTGAACTCAACCAAGGTAAGGTCAAGAGTACCTCACATCAATTGAGTGAGCTCCACCCCAGCACTTGTCCAGCATAGTCCCTAGCTACGATCCCCACAGCAGCAGACCCCGTCATAGGATCTAGAGAGCCATCAAAATTAAGTTTCATAACACCAACAGAAAGGGGTTTACAACGGGAAAAAAGCAGCAGTAGGAACCAATTCCTCTAAGATAGAGACCATGGCATCTCTATGTAATTGACCACGAGATCGAGAGACCTCCAAGAACTCCCGATGCAAAATACGGGTGTTAGC